AAAAACCCACCATGCAAAGTTATACAAGATGCGGAAGAATAAAATTTCGTCCATAGATGATTTATTGATATGACGATACGGAAACATTACCTCGCAAGATGAAGCACGATAGTGTAACCTCCAAGATCGAAATATGTTTGAGCTTAAAAGAGTAAGAAGTTGTACCATTTGGTTACGCAATGCTAGAAAATTGTGCATCATGACTGTACTGAAGACATAATGAAGTGCAGTCATGTGTCCATTTGGGACTCTGCCAGAAGTACGATCTGAAAGCATTCGTACGCATGAGAAGCAGTTTCGTTTAGAAGGTTGTCGCAAATGAGAATGTGAAGATTAGAGTCAATACTTGGAACAACCATACATATAAGTACGGATCGACCGAATATCATGATCCACGATAATAAACGACATAAAATAATCCTGACCAGGTTGGCATCTCTAGTCAGGATACGCTGACAGCAATGGAGACGAAGGAGAAGCGAAAGTGTGATATACTGGCTAATAAACTGAAGTCAGAAATAAAATCCAGAACGAAAATACTTCAGGTATACCAAATAATTCCGTATGATGACTTTGGATGGAATTGTAACGAACTTCTATAAACGTTACGTGAAGGAAATCAGTACTTCTGATCACATCGAAATAAATATAAATTTGATAGTTTTCAAGATGTTCGAAAGCATCTCATTTGATGCGTACTATGGATTCCATCATGATGAAGCAAAAGAGATCAGCACAACAAATCTGAGCGCGGGACAAGTACAGCCAGAGTGCAGGAATACGATCCAGCTCCAGAATGGATAAAGAAGCCTAACCTCCATATAGAAGATCAACCTTATTCTAGTGACAATTAATGATATATATGTAGTTTATTATACGAAAATGGTAATACGCTTTGGACTGTAGGATTTTCTGCTAATATGTTTCGGACTGTAGGATTTTTTGCGAGGTTGCATCGAGTCTTTAGTTAAGGCACAATAATTGCCAAGAAAGTGTAATGAGCTTTCTCCTGCTTCAAAATTGCTGCCCTCCTGGTACATATGGGTGCGGTATCTACAACAATATTATGTAGCTGTAGAAGCATAAGCTCACTCTTCTGCTCAACATTATGAAGTCTAGATGCTAGCTCGTCCCTTGACAGCTACAGTCTCTCCAAACAATGCAGGTTGGAAGTGAATTCCGTACTTAATTAGTAACTGTCTGATATCATGGTCAATTGCTCGGAAGTCCTCTGGTCCCAGTTTGAGAATCCCAATATAATAATATTTATATATACAATAAATATAATACACTACATATATATCATTAATTGTCACGAGAATGAGACATCCAAAAAATACGAAAATGGTAAAGGACGCAAAAAAAATCGATAGTATGTAATTGAAAAAATGATGACATGTTTGAACAAAAGTTAAGCATTATTTAACAGAGAATAACACAGAAACGAATAATGTCAAAAAAGATATACAAAAGGATAGGTAGGATAAATACTAGTCCATTGATATGATTAAGATAGTCAGTCAGTCGAAAGTGATAAGTTTTAGAAATGGAAGTATCAAAAGAGGAGAATAAGAAGGATGAAAGTATAGAAAGCAACGATTTAGGAATAAATGCAGTGGTTAAAGAATAGAGGAGAGGAGAGGAGAAGAGAGGAAAGAAAGAAAAGAGAAGTATGATAATTCAGCTTGACCGAAAGTAGCCGATAGAACACAAATGTACACTTGTTGCATTTAGTTTTAGAGTAGCGAAGTAAATCGTTTTTAAGCTTGCGAAGATCTGCTTTGTGGACATTTAGCATTTGCAGAATAAACTGTGGCAATGATCGTTCATATATTCGCAAATACTTAGGCAGTACAACAAGGACGTGAGCGGCAAGTGCAGCAATATAAATAATACAATTATTAAACATCTTTAATCTTTACAACAATGAATTCAAAGTAGAAGAAAAAAGGATCAAAAAGAAGATTAAAAATGGCAACGAACAATACACAAAAATGAGTTAGAATATGCGTGATGAACAAATATTGTTTCTGTAGCATTCAAGCACAGAATAGGCATATAGGTAGATTAAGACGTTATATCTATACTTGTCCATTACATATTCATGTGCAAGATACAGCAATATTTTTTACTATTTCGACTATATACGCTCGATTACTGCAAGTACTATTGTAGCAGCCATTTTGAATCCCATTATTTACTTCACAACAGTTGCATTATTCGTACTATGAATCATTTCTCATAACAACTGTGTCAGTTATTTCTTGCATAACTCTGGTAGCATTATTTTCCTTTCTGTTCCCTTTTGCATCACAAAACAGAAAGTAAGTACTTACTACGAACCAAACTCTACTGCACCTCATATGTACCAATTAAACTTCAAAATTGGTCAAGGAAATGGTATCAACAAATCGCTAGTACGTACACATTTGCAGGTGCATTACTGCTTTTTATTGAACTCTATGCAATATAGCGTCTCATTTCTTTTATTGCAGTAATTACACATATTATAAATGTGAGATGCATATGGTGCTGCTTTCTTGACAGAATGTGTTAGGACTGAGTTCTATAGTCGTGAGATATTAGAACCTCAAGACTAGAGACACCACTCTGGAAATTATTAAATGGCAAGATAGAGCGCAATGATGTCATGTCTCGATGGCTTTCTATATGAAAATACCTGTGATAATTTAGTAGTCTGTTGACAGCACTATTCTTTTAATTTACCTACCTGTATCATAAGAGTAATATTGCTTTTCCTTCCACATTTTCCCCAAAGTCTGTTGCAAAAATGCGTAGATTAACTACTACGTTGGGTTTTGAACAGTACTCTTACTGTTAACACGGCTTCAGTTTTCAGTGAGACGTTACCAGTATTTTATTCTACTTTGCTGATAAAAAAAATTTTTTTATGTTCCAGTTTGTTGAGTATGAAATAATAGACACCACGATTTATTTAAAATCACCACTGAAACTATTTGAATAAGAGGTAATCACGCAAGACGCAAAGAAAAAACACTTATGAGATACCTTGAACAAAAATTTCAACAACTTAATCACTGCTCTAAATTAGTTAAGATTTTTTGCGTTAAGTGCACCAATTGCACCTCTGATAAAAGCAATAATTACTCAAAAAAACTTATGTTAGTTATTTATAGCTTTTGTTAACTATTTATGGATAATGATGCTCAGAAGCTATTTAAGACATTCCAAAGGCATATTTCCTGAAATACGCATGAGGGATAAAAAATGATGAATAAAATTTAAAAATTATATGTCAAAAAGAATCAAGAATGTATTTGCTAAATGATGTACAAGACTCATAAATAAAGCACTCCATCTCATTACCTGAACATCTTTCTTGTCCCAGAAATATAAAGAAATGAATTTCTAACTTATTCCTGAAAATATAAAGAAAGATGCCACACAACACAACTGCTTGCTTTCGATAATTACCCTGAATAAACTAACTTCATTTCTAGGAATCACGCTAACACTTAAAAATTAATTTACTTAATTTGATGGTTTCAAGCCAGTATGTGCAGATGCTTCTGCTATACACAAAAGTATAAACAAGCAGAAAACAAAGACGAAATTTAGCGTGAACATTACCAGTATGTCAAGCATCTTACCCATGTTAAACTTCCAAAATAATCCAAAGTTCTACATACTTGAAAAATAAAAACATATCTTTTGCAGTCTTAATTCCTAAACTATAAAAGCAACAATTACAAAGTAGAAACTGTCCAACATTCTCTTTAGATATCTTCAACATTCGAAAAGAAATCTTGATACTGATGCAGCCAATTTCAAAAAATTCACAGCTGGCTTTTTCTCCAGGACCATATAAATTTTTTTCATGTTTCAACGATGGTGCAGCCATTTCAAATGAATAATACCGAATTTTTATCTTCTCCCTTTTACAATATTTACACCAGATATTTTCAAATACAACCTAATACTTATGATAGAAAATCTACAAGTATGTCAGATATTGAAATTAATTACGATCTCAGAAATTTATATGAATATTACTAGGCGAGTTGTAGTGAAGTGAAAAAAGATTAAAAGAATGGCACGGTGGACAGAAATAACTCACGCACGTTTTCGAAGCAAATTAAAGTATAACTCAGAATTGGAAATGGTAGGCCAACATCAGATGTGAATATTACAAAAAAAACTAGAAGCAATGTGACGAGAACAAATGCTATTAATACAAAATGAGTGAAATAAATGAATTTCTTATTACTACTACAGCATTACACAAGATATCGTACAACATTATTCATTTACTAGGTTTCTTGATCTCGAAAATTACCAGGACAAAATTTTTAAAATTAAGGAAAAAAATCATAAGTCAGAATTACCGTAATATTCAATATCTGAAAGATTTACTTTCTAATCTTGTAGAAATAAAATCTAGTACACTACAGATTCAGTTTTAGTGGTTATTATTAAACTGATGCTTTCAAACCACAATTAATTATTTCTCTAAGTAAACAATTCTAGATAGTTTTTGGGAGATGATTAGAAATTAGTTTCTAGCACCGCATGTGGTTACTCCTTTTAGTTGTTAAAACCCCTCCAAATAAAGATTTTAACAAAAAGTAAACTATAATTAAATGAAAACAAAAAGATTTCCCCGGTCACTAATTCACAGCACATATGCATGAAGTTCATTACCTATATTTTATGATTTTCATGAAATTCAAAAAATCCTGCCCAAAAATATACAAATTAAATACACAGCAATGATATCTAGAATCAAACTGAGACCAGCAGGCTAGATCAAGAATAATGTAATGTTTCTGAAAGAAGAAAGAGTATTTGACAGGTATGATAAATGCAAATGAACAAACTGGCCAGAATCTCGTGGGCAAAGGCATAAATGTACAAGCAGATATTTTACTGTGCTGAATTATTGAATGGACAAACATAAGTTGCAGGAAACATGCCTGACTTTCCATTTAGCGTGCCTTCCCACCAATTATCGTCTTCTCGGTTTGTGACTGAAATACGGTCGTTGCGGAAATCCAAAATTCTTTAAATTCCCATCAATGGCTTTTTGAAAGTGAATTCAATTTGTGCATAACAAACTTAATATAATATTAAAAAATTTTTTCACAATAAATACTACTTATGACCAAATACTTACCAGTAATAATATCACCTCGTTTAAAACCTAGCTCTCCCTCTTCTTGTAGTTTGAAATCAAACATAGCTTGCACCAAATGGGTACCTTGAGCAGCTAAGCTATTCATATTTTGAAGTAAAATTGTATGAGAACGAGATACAGATGCTGACCTGAATATATTGACAATTCTTTGTAATTATTCGTAACCAAAAGCAAAAGACAAAGATAACTACGTTTACACTTACAAAAATGGCATTTTTAAGTAAGGAAATAGCATTTACATAAACAAGTATAATTTTATGCCACAACAAAGCAGGCAAAAGTTTGGGTTTCAAAACAAAACTTGTTATCTTTTATGACAAAACTGAACCCTTAAGCTCACCGGTGATAAGCGATCAGCTCATTGATAGAATTGAATTTTACGACCCATAGGTAATATTTACCATTATTGTCGCGCAGCACTTTGAAATGCTGTACTGAATCTTGAAATCTTAAAGAAAGTTTGTCACAATGAAATAAATTGGTTAATACAAAAAAAAGGTAGTGACCTCTATGTTGAGTCATGTTGTAGTCCCATAGAAAGTTCAAAAAATGAAATATGTAATATAAAAAAATATGATCATGAACTTTGATGAAAACAAGAACAAGTCTACAGATTTTTTTGGTTTGCTTGCATATTTCATATCAAATATTTGCAAATTTGATATGAAATTCCATGGATATTTATCCTGATTGATAGCTATAGAAATTAATTCCAACAACTATTAATTTGGATGCTTTATCTCTGAAAGCTTAAAAATCTAAACTTGGTAATAGGACTACCTACCTCACCGAAATGCTGAAATCGCCAGGAGAGCTTTCAGATTGACGGACGAGAAATGCACCATCACAATTTCCAGATCTTAGTAACAACGATTCTGCATCTGCGCGACTAATTTTGCCAAGATACCTTGAAAGCAAATGTTCTGTACTAGTCAATATATCAGAATTTATAGAATATGAAAACGTTGGTTTAATAAACATAAAAGTAATTGCCCTATACCTAAACTTTATAACATGTCACGGAAAGCTATAAAAAAAAGCAAAGTCAAATACGTTTTAACACCATCATGACACATCATTTTGTAACAAAGAAGAAAAATAAAATCAAACGATCGCGAAAGAACAGACCAGTCATGCTCGTTCATCTTAATGTAATTACTGGGAATGAAACCTTCATGTCCATCCAATTCTGCTTTGTACCAGTGGGGATCTTCATCCTTATTTAAAACCTGTATGCATAGATTACAATCACTGCAAGTTTTGGCTACAAGCGTGTTTAATTATTTTTGTACCAGTACTTTCAAGCAATACATTTCAGTACGATGCAATTAAAATAATTTAAAAACTAAAAAAATTTAATCTTTACGTATAACAAGTTATAAACATTATTATGTGTATCGAACACTGTCAAAACTAACAGTTAATCACAATTTCATATTCTGATTCAGTAGATTCTTTAATTCAGTAATATTTCAAATCGTATCCATATACAATTATAACTTAAATTTAAAAAAAAGTCTATTTCTGCATTAAACATTTTTCTATAAATGCAACAACTTTCAAAAATCGAGGAGTAAAGTTCACGAAAAATATATATTTAGCTAACCTTCAAAATTTGATTTTTTCGAAAACTAAGCTCGTCTTCAGCTGTTGCGTTGAAATCGTGCTCAGCTAAAGCTTCCATCACACCTTAAATTGAAAATTTGTCCTTTTAATAATATGGCAAATGAAATGGTGATAAACGTTGTATATAATTTCTTACCTTCTAATTATTTATTAGTAAGTGTTATCAACTGAAAATGTAAAACTGCTTGGTAGAAAAAGTTCGACCGACAGCTCAGAATATGTACCAAACATTAATAACATTAGTTAGCGAAAAAAGAATGAAATATCAACAAGATGAGTTAAATTTGCATTAGGCGAAGATTTTACCAAACTTATCAAAGACTGGTAATCTTAGTTACAGGCTTTAAAAAGTTTGGCAACAATATAAAATATTTTTTCGCCTAAGCCAGTATGTTAATCATAATGATTTTAAGATCAGGAATAGCATTAGCATATCAACATGCATTAAGCTAGATTACGAAAAATGAACCAAAAAAGGAATTTACAATTTTATACAAAACAATATAAAATAAAGCTGAAAATTAAATAAGAATTAGAGCAAGTAAAAAGGACTAACTTAATACACAAAAAAATGACAGACAAAATTTCTTTCAGAAAATTTCTATTATTGGCTGTTATCAGTGATTACCTGCTCATTGCAACTTAAAATAAAACTTCTGAAAGATACAAGAAAATGTGAATTGAAGTTATTACTTGTAAATATGAACAATAAAAAGTTGTTGCAAACAGTCTCTGCTATCAATGATTTGCAAACTTCTCCAGTAACTTCAGTTATGAATTAATTTGACAGAAAATAAAATTATCAAAACTAACTAAACTCACAGTGCTCCTTATAGACTTGAAAAATTATATCCTTAACGCAGCTACAACGTATGAAAACGTTATTTCTTTAATAATAGAGAGACTTCCGTAATCGCTAAAAACACAATAGGAACAGGTCTGAAATATTTTATAAACTTTTAATCTAGAAAACATCCCTATCTTTTCTGTTACTCGTTGGCAAAGCAAAAATATGATTTATATATGTAAAATAATAATAAGTTTCTGAATTTATATTTGCTTTTTGCTTGAGTTCTTCAAAATACAAACGATTCTTATGAAGTGGAAATTTGCTGTGGTAGAATTTTTTACGAGAAAGAAATTTTCTACTGTTTACATGTGCAAAACATTACTCTAAATTTCGTATTGTTTCTATGATTGAAAATAGCTAATGCTAGCTATTCTAAATCAAATATGCATATGAAGGATAACTTTTCAAAATTGTCTTAAAGAGATAAAATATACATTTTTTCTTGCATCTCAGTGTACTACCTCAAATTGTGCTAAAGTGGAAATTAAACGAGAAATAAAAGTGAAGTTATACATTTTACTACACAGTAAATATCAGACAATTTCAAATACAATTTTTTATGAACTTGGCATAGTAGGTATTAGTTGTATCACCAAAATATGTTTATTTATTAATAACTAGTAAAAAAATTAAAGATTTCGTCTTTAAATTTAATAATTAATGTTTTGTTCCAACATCCAGAAAGCTTTCATTATTATTCAAGACTGCTTTACGTTATTATCACTGAAACATTGATTAAATTCTAAATAAAATTTAAACATATTCAGATTCAAGGTCAGTAGTTGATGACTTGAATTTGTATGATTAAAATTGATTGGTTGATTAGAATAAATAGAATTTTCTATCCTCAGTACATTAAACATAAATACAGTATAAAGATGGGTATCACGATTTTCAAAACAAATAAGATTTGTTGAAATTTCTATGTTTTTAATGAATGCAATCGTGGCTTTCATCTGGCATAATAGCTTCCAGATTCCATGTACCGAAATGAAGAATCTTCTGTGGCACTTTGCCATTTGTGATATAGTGATTTGGCAATTCAAACTTCCATCGTCTTTGACATGGCTTGAAACATATATAGTTTTACGTTACCTATCAATTGATATTCTTGAACTTGAACAAGTATAATTAACTTATTCACTATGAATACAATACAGTATAAGATTAAAGAATGGTAAAATTTATAAGAATTAAGTACATTTATTAATATTAAATTAATAAATTAAATAAATTTATTTCATTAATATTTTGTTTTGTTTGACTGAAATTTGCAAACAGGTAAATCATTAAAAAAACTTAAAAAAACTACTTTGTTCAAGGAAGTTTTAATATTTCTTTGATCTGTAAGCACTTTATGAGCTTTAAAAAGTGTATATCTTTCGCAAATAATATTGATAATGTAGCGTAGAAATACAGTGGTCAGTCATAAAAGATGTACAACACTTACAGTAGCATCATCGTTACAATCGTGGTAAATTTTCAAATGTGGATCAATTGTAGTTATTTCATTGGTACCACCTGATAAGTTAAAGTAGCCATTTTGATCAGTGTAACCTGCGTCTAAGTCATCATCTGGATCTGATCCTTAAATAACTTTTATATTCACCAAAATGCAATTCATATAACCAATAATTATTATTACTCAGATACATACTAGACGAAGAATTGTTGTTTCTAAATTTATATAAAATCATTATTAATGTTAGTAACTTACCAAAATCGTCATCAACCAATTTAACTCGTACACCTGAAGCTGATTGGTTGCCACACAGCAATCGCCCAACTACCTGCAATTATAAAATATAACTTCTAATATTTTTTCACATAAATGCTCCTTGATATACCACATCTGTGAATTAAGAATGGAAAATAAGAATAGTATTACGGTATAGCTTTGGACGCCGGTATGTTGTTGTGGAATAACCGCACAATAAGACACGCAAATGAGTAGTGCAATGATTGTAGTGATTGTATTAAAGTATTTATCCATTTAGTTCACTTGAGAAAAAATCTGAAATTATTGTCAAAATGCTTTTAATAAATTCCACCGAGCATAAATAATTTGTTTTACAATTGTTGAGCATTTCATTCGTTCTCAACTCTGACACTGATAAGTGATCATTTCAAAAATAATGTATGTGTAAAAATTGTGTAAGCGAAGGCTTAATTTACATCTACTTTCGAACACATTAATTTTTTTCTTCCTGTGACACAAGGAAATCTCTGAATTTAAAAAGTTTGCTAAAGTTAGTTTCGAGTTCTTATATATCTCTAATATTGTAATTGTGCATCTCTGAAAAAGAATATGATTACCTAATTTTCACTCACTATTACATTCTTAGAATAAAACAAAGAGCTACTGGTATTTCAAACAGTACTAATTCATTTAAAAGTAATGATTATATCATTCAGTACTCTGATAAGATCTCGCTATTATTTTTATTCATTATTTGTTATTTATTATGACTATTATTATTATTACTATTATTTGAAATCTTTTTAAAAAATGAGCACATATTTTAAACATATACTCATAATAAAATACCAAAAGTATGGTTTCTCAAGCTGAGATTACTCGATATACTTATAGGATATCATTAAACTTCGGAGTTACATCAACAATAGTTTTATTCACATATGCAAAAAAATCAACAGAAAAATATAGTGAATAATTCTGTTCATTATCATACAAAGTAATATTTTTCAGTGTACATTATTTAGGTTACATTCAGTAATGCTGCTGTATTAATCGCACCTAAAAAATATAGAAGAAAAAGCAAAAAAAAGTTAATTGGTAGCATCTTAAATAGCATCAAAATAAGTGAAGAAAATATTTAATGACTCTGAATGCATTTTCAGATACAATTAAATAGAAAGACAAATTTGTTTATTTAATATTTTTTCATTTCTGATAAAAAAATTCTCACACTACGAGTATCATATTGAACTTTATCACTTTTGACTTTGATCTAATTATATTTTTTAAAAAATTAAAATAGTTGATTTCATAGCAGTATCATTTACAAAACATAAATTGCAAATGCTACGCTTTTATCATTTAAAAAATATTTTCTTATAAATTATTAGATTACAATATCCACTTCATTCTTGTTCTAATCTTTAGCTTGATCTAAAAAGTATGTTTGCATCGTAGTACTTATGTTTATTCAAATCTGCTAATAATAAATCACCATTGTTTGAATACATATTTTCATCAGTCCTTCATAACATTTGAAATGTATTAATTAATTTCTAACATATATCTAATTCGGGTCATATTTGGTGTTTTATTGAATTAGCTAGTTTTTGTAAACCAAATCAGTTAATGAACTGAGTATTTTTTTAACAATAAAATTTCTCAGTTGTTGCAAATCATTTATCAAATTACAAAATTTGAACTAATTAATGAATACATTGCACAAAAGATCATTTATGTATGCATTCTTGATTTTCATATTCTAATTCAACTTCTAAATTTATTTCACCAAGTCTCATTGTTTCCCCAGCCTCTGCACCTTTTGATACATATCGTTCTGGAATTCGAATGACCCATTCTCTTTGACATGGCTACAAATAAAGTTTTAATTTCTCCATATTGCTATACTAATTTAAAAATGGAAATTAGTAAGTAAACATTTCGACAAATGTATGAATTCCATAACATTGCAGACTGTAATTGTTTTTTCATTTAGTCAAAAAGTAACTAAATAATTATCTTTTGATTTATTTAGTAAGAGATATATGCAGCACATACTCTTCCATAATCATTGCAATCATGATAAATACGGATTTCTGGATCAATAGTCGAGAATTCGTATGAATTACCATGCAAATCAAATCTGCCACCACTGTCTGTATAAGAGATGGCCATTAAATCATCTGGATTAGGACCTGAAAAGTGTGCTAATTATAAAATAATGTTGATCACTTTTTTCCAGTATTTTTGTTAATCAAATGCAAAAATGCATATAGAAAATCTAATTAGTATTCCAAAATCAAACATATTTATTACATCTTAAAATTAAATACTGCAAGTAACTGGCTAATTAATTATTTTATAAAAATAAAAAAAAAATTAATTACCATTATCTTTATCGACTAGCTTTACAAGTACTCCAGAAGCTGGCTGAGAACCACATAAAAGTCGTCCTCTGACCCTTACACTTTGCTCTAGGAATGTATTAGCCGTATGTATTATTGCAATGATAAGATATGCAAATACTGAAGACAGGGGTCTCATTTTGCTCAAAAGTCTGCAGAATTCTGTTATAAGTTTCAAAAGAAATAAGTAAATTAAAAATATGAAGGACTATCTTAACTTGAGAAATCCGCCAATAAATGCACCTTAATTATCATTTAATTTGGTAGAATATTGGTTTTAGGGCTTCTTCTTGCCAGTATTTTAAGCAACTGTTTTATACATTTGTCACAAAAAATACAAGTTAAACTTTCAACTAGTTGTAATTCTTGAAAATGCTTGTTCTGACAGGAAAATATCAGAACAAACATCAAGGATGCATTGGTGGATTAGATCGTTTACTGATTGTCAAAAGATATAAAAACCTTAATTGTGATCTATGTTTTATTAATTTGTAGTTTTAATTTTGGAATTAACTTGAAATGATATAAATAAGATTTTTTTAAATGTTCTTACTTTAAGCAAATCAGTAAAAGTAAATCAACTTCAGAAACACAATTTTGATTTGGATTTATTGTGGTTATAAAAAAAGGATTGAACTCAAAAATCATATAAAAGAAAAAGCAAATAATCCGGAGAAGAGAATACTTTGAGATATATGCTTGACAAAATATTTTTAAAGTATACATACAAAAATTAAATAATCATTATAATAATTGGTAGTAAAATAATAAGCAACAAGCGTTGTATGAATAGATGCATACGTCACAAATAGAAGTTAGTGTGATGGATAGATGGATAAATGAACAGAATGAAGAAAATCCGATGCAAAAGAGTGCTAAGTAGAGTTTCTATGCCAGTTGGTTATTGATAACTGACTGATAACGATTTCATACTGATCATTTTACTTTCAGCATACTATCTTTTCTGACAGCTGTCATTGCAACTAAGTTTGTTTCCACGTTTTCTACTTCATACTTCTGATATCATCCTTGAAAAAGCAATCATTTACTATTCTGCTTTCTCATTTAACAAGAAGTTTCTGGTATACAAAAATTTGAACAACGTTTATCATCATAGATAAGTTAAGCTATAATCATTCATGCAGACTTTGGACTCTCCTTGCAAGCTATTTTGATTGAACTTTTTCAATTATTTTTGCGATTTAGCAAGCTCCGTTTTTATATATTGAATAAATTAGTCATCTGATTTATTCAAAAAGTTATCTATGCTCTAACTTTATTAAGTATTCATAAGATTACCAAAATATAAAGTTTATTTATCTATGAATATCTTTCATTTCAAAATTTTCAGTGATATGGAAAGATTATTTAATTTTTTATTTTAATTTTCTTTATCATTTGCATAAAGCACTGCATTTGTAAGTGACCTGCAAATACGTCTTAATATGAAGATATTTAATGATCAAATGAAACAAAATAAATACTGATATTCATAAAGCAATCAAATAAAGTGATTTTAAGAAAATATTACATTGGAATTAGCACTTAATAAAAATAATAACAGCAGTAATTAAATTAGTTCAGTATTTCAAATTTTATGATCACATAAAACATCTAATTAGTTACCACTACAAGATTTCATATTATCAACTGTTATTGGAATATTTTACAAGCATTCTCGTTTCTCGCCGTAGAAAACGACCTCTGCATTGAGGATGCCCACATCCATGATTTTCTGAGCATCTCCTTCATTGCTGATATACTTGACTGGGATTCCTAATCGCCATTCTCGATCGCATGGCTTGAAAAAAAACAAATTGATAGATTTAGCCAGGAAATAATCAATATTTATCCTTTTCTCACTACAAAGTATTGTAATTTAATCAATGTCAATCTTAATAAAATTATGACAAAGAATGCTTTAGCACAAAATATGCACAAAATTGATAGTTGTTAAAATATTTGCATAAAATATTATTGTCACAATTTTTATAAAAAAATTTTCTACTAAAAGTTAAGCTTTATAAAATTTAAAAATTTACTATTCCGCCATCATTGCATTTGTGCCTAATAACAAGGATAGGATCAATTGCAGTCCATTCACTCTCATTACCGTGGACAAAAAAATGCCCCATTTGGTCAGTTACATTCTTTCCCATGATGTCATCAGGATCCAGTCCTGTATCATGAATAACCGAAAGTGACTATAAGTACTAACAAATCTTTATGCTATTTTGAATCTCCCTTGCATTAATAGTGAACATTTTAACAAACAATGCATATCAAAAAATAAAAAGTAAAAATAAATGAAAAATTATGCCGAAATTTAACAATCACAGCTAAAAAAAATAAAAAATATGGAACAATTTATGCTTTAAACATTTATTCCAAGTAAGTTTTTGCTATAGTTATTTAATTTATCTGGTCACATTAGTGGCTACACTAATGTGACCAAATAAATTAATTACTTAAATGCTAAAAAATGAAGGGAGGAATAAAAAAATTGAGAGAAAATGGAAGATAAAATGATAATAAAACAAACCATCTTTATCAATGAGAATTACTTGATGATTAGGTAATGGTCGTCCTTCACATAATAATACTCCCTGAACCGCAACACTTTGTACACGAGATAATTCGAAGAAAATACTATTGCCAAAGTTGGGCAATATAAAGCAGACAAGAAATACTATATGCTTCTTCATATTTCATCCTCTAATTTATAAATAAAACTAATGGATTGAAGGATTTAGTAGAACGAAAGATAAAAAGTTAAGAGAAGCTTAGAAAGTGATCTTTGGATCAATGAGCACTAGAAAGCTAAATAATAAACAAATTCAATCTAAAGAATAATAATTTTTTATGCAGATGAGAGTGAAAATGCTTACTGAAGTCATTGTTGGGACAATTGGGAATGAATAATAGATAGATAATGCATAAATGGATACAATATAGCCATAGAAGAAAGATAGAAAAATAAATTACAAATTTATAAAATTAACATAGATACAGAAAAGATTATTTCTAGTATTTATAATTTAGCTAATAATAATAATTCATGTGCATTTATTTCTTCCTCAATTACTTTCACTGTGATTTTCTTTTTTTTTTTTTTTTT